GGAAGCCATACATTTCAATGTGCCATAGCAACAGAATACATTTCTCATTAAAGATAAAGGCATAATACAGCTCAGAAAAAACGCTCCTAGACACAAACACGAAAGAAACAGTACTGATATACACCATTAACTTGCAGCATATGAGCTCTGCCAGGATATTTTGCTTATTGTGACTGGGAATTATTTTAAGAAGCCAGAAGTTCCTTCTATGTGAGTAAAAACTCATTAAAATCAAATGTCAAGAGAACTTAAAGAAATGCAGGAACACAAACATACCTGCAAGGCAGGCAGTGGAAACCACAGCACAGGAGAAAGGTAGAGACAGACCAGCAAGCTGTCTCTCAGGGCTTTTATATGGAACACTTAAAAAAAGATTTTAAAAATTATTTTTTTTAGTGTTTGTGTGCCAGGGGTGGCATGTGCATGAGAATGCAGCTACCTGCAGAAGCCAGAGGCGTTGGAACCCCTGGAGCTGTAGTTATAGGGAGTTATGAGGCACCTGATGTGAATGCAAATTCAGGTCCTCCAGAACACTGGTGCTCACTGCTGAACCATCTCTCCAGTTCCTATACTGAGCAAAGCATTTTATAACCACCAAGTGATCTGATTTTGCTTAAAGGAACCCAAAGAAGTAGGTATATTCACCTCCATCCCCTGGGAGATGAAGCAGACTCTAAGAATTCAAATCTTTACTCAGAGTCATGCAACTCTTAAATGGTGTTGTTTACCATGGGTCTCAAACCCTCATCTTATGAATGATGTCAATATGAGTGCAGTGCACAACAGCTCGAGTTCTTGTTAATTGCAGGCTGACCCAGCAACACTTGCATACAAACTTTGATAGTGCTGGTAGCTTCAGCTGCTGCTTTAGCAACTTGTCATAGCTGGAGGTTCTCGAGGGTGAAGAAGTTCAATGTATAGCACAGAGAAAGCCTTTGCAAGCATGTTCAGCTCACTCATGTGCCCCCGAAACAGAGTCCCTGTTTTGATTGTCTTAGGAGTGTTGCACCAGAGGGGTGTGTAAACTTTGACCTTTAATATAGTCTTTCTATCTTAAGATATTACAAAAAAAAAAGGAGAGGAAGGGGAGGGAAGGGAAGGGGACAGACAAACAGAAGGAGGAGGAGTTCAGTTTCAGGGAGATACATGTGATCGTAGATCCTTGCCTGTGTTAAGTATTTCAATGTCTGTAGCTCTTCTGGGAGAGAAACAGATATCACCAGAAGAAGAAATGCATTTTCACACACCTATCACCTCATCTAATGAAGAAAAGAACTTTGGAGTTGCTCCTAAGTCAGTAGAGCAAGGATAGATACCAACTTAGCTGCTTATTGTAGATGTCTTAGAAATGAATAATAGTCACTTCTAAACACTAAAAAGTCTGTAAAAATGTGTTTTCCATGCTTCTTCAGGTGTACTTTTAAACTACTTCTCTTCATGAGCTTACAGGTGGCTGAGTTAGTTACTTATCTCTTTGCTGTGGCAGAATGCCTGACACAAACAGCTTGAAGAAGATAGAGTCCATCTTGTCTCACAGTTTGAGGGCACTGTTTATCATGGTGGGGAAGACATGGCAGAAACTTGAGATTCCTGGTCATATTGTGTCGACAGACAAATGGACAGACAGAGACACACTCAGACACAGACAGAAGACAGACAGACAGACAGACCACACACACACACACACACACACACACACACACACACAGCACAGCACAGGAGGCGGGATACCAGTGCTCAGTTCACTTTCTCCTTTTTATTTAGTCTGTCTCCAGATTATGCTATAGTGCTGTCCAATTTCAGGGTAAGTCTTTCCCCCTCTGTTAAAGTTTTCTGGAAACTCCATCATAGACAGAGATGGAAGAATGTTTTCATGGTGAGTCTAAGTCCATTGAAGTTGACAAAGGAAATTAACCATCACAATAGAGATGTCTTCTGTCCTAGCACATGTAGAAGAGATTCATGATTTAAATATCCAAGTCAAAACGCAGGAAGTTTTTTTCCTTTGCTGAATGAAACATAAATATTCAGTCAATATATTGATAGTATTCACAAATATGATTATGTATTAAAAATAACAGTGCTAGCAGAGTCAGCTCCCTCAACTCTACAGTTCTTAAAATTATTGCCTTTCTCCTTTCTCTAAGTGGAACCTGAGTCAGTATAGATCAAAAGCATAAGCATAATTAGCTAGAGAAATGCACTTCAGCAAATAGATGTCTATAGTTAGGGGATGTTTCTAGTGTGCTTTCAGTTGTTGTGATAAATATCATGGCCAAACACAACTTGGAGAGGAAAGGATTTATTTTAACTTGTAGGTTACAGTTGATCAAGGGGAGCCAACTGTGCTGGCTAGTTTTATGTCAACTCCACACAAGCTAGAGTAACATGAGAGAGGGGAGCCTCAATTGAGAAAATGCCTCTAGAAGATCAGGCTGCAGGCAAGGCTGTGGGGCATTTTCTCATAAGTGATTAGTGTGTGTGTAGGCACCATTGTGAGTGGGGTCACCTCTACTCTAGTGGTCCTGGGTTCTGCAAGGAAATATACTGAGCAAGTCACGGGAAAGTAAGCAGCACCCATGTGAGGCTTCTGCAATAGCCCTAGCCTCCAGGTTCCTGCCCTGTTCCTGTTCCTGTGGTGACTCTCTTCAGTGATGAACAGAGATGAGGAAGCTTAAGGCAGATGAACCCTTTCCTCCTCAAGTTGTTTTAGGTCATGGTGTTTCATCACAGCAATAGTAACCCTAGTTAGACATCAATGTAGGACCTTGAAGCAGAGACCATGAAGAAATGATGCCCATGGATTTACCTAGCTTTCTTATACAAGGACCAAGCACTCAAAGATGATACCTCCACAGTGGTCTGGGCCCTCCTCCATTAATTAGCAATCAAGAAAATGTTCCCACAGACTTGACCACAGGCCAATCTGATGGATGCAATTCCTCAACTGAGGTTCCATCTCCCCAGGTGTGTCAAGTTGACAACCAAGATTCGTCATCACAGGAGGTGATGCTGGAATGTCATTGAAAGCAAGTTTAGTGTTATATACAGTTCACTATTGGTCCACATGCGCAAAGAAAAAAAATCAAATGTGATCTCTTAGTTCCTATGCCCTCAAGAATAGTTTTGTTGCTGTATCCAATACTGTCGTCTTTTTGCTAAGTGAACAAAGATTTATGAGGTTTTGGGACAAAGTGAAGGGGCCAGGTCCTTAACTCACAAATAGAATGAAACTAACCAGCCATTTTGGAATAGAATATACAACCCTGTCCCCATTAACACTGTCTGTGTAATTGGCCACCATGTATAATAATGCATAGTGAATGAGATGCTTATTTATATGATATTGGCCATTTTTCACTTGAACACTAAAGTTCTGTTTTTCTTGTTGATAAAACTCACCCAAGAGTCCCTTTTATGTGACAAGTAAGCTGGAGTAAACAAATACAAAAATACCTTATTTCATTAGTCAGTGATATTTTCAGAACTTAATGAACTGTGAGTGTAAAAGGTACAAAGTATTAAAAGTACTAAAATGAAACATTTTATCTGGCCCAATAGGCTGTCCTTCAGCTACAATGGTGTCAGTTGCATAGTCAAATGCGCTTGGCTTCCTTATTGACTTTCATCAATTTTGAACATCCTGGCAGTATCTCATTGTTCTGTGGGTTCTGCTGAAGTTCTAAAGGTGGCTGATCAGTTTCCTGAGGATTTAGAGATCCAAGAGGCCTTGGCCTTTAAAAATGGACTCTTGTCCCCAGTGATGGAGATAAGAAGAATCTTTATCCAAAGATAGGTCATAGAGGTAAGCATGGCCAGCTGGCTCCCAAAATGTAAAATGCCACAATGTATACATGGTATGATTGTTCCAGACAGGCTTTAGAGGAGTTGCTAGATTTAAACCAAGAGTTGCCACTTGACTACATCCGTCCTTAAGGCTCTTTCTTTTAAACATTTCTTTTGCCAGGAAACGTCTTGACCAGCATACAGAAGGGACATCCTGCACCGGAAGTCTTCAGAGGACCCATATGACTGCTCCCAAATCCTAAAGAGCTGCCTATGGCTGGGTGCCTACTAGCCTTCTGGGACCTGTTGTATGTACTTACTCACCTCTGCTCTCCTCAGAGTCGACGGGTCTGGAAGTCTAAAGTGCAGAGTAAGGGTAAGGATGCACAGAAGGAAATGATTCTAATGTCGTCTAACCTCAAAATGGAGGGCAGAATGGGAGCCACCTGAAGCTCCTTGGGACTATTGCTTCTTTATTCAGTGGAGGTGTAGTGTGTCCTATCAGATTTTTTTTTGTATTTTTAAAAGTGTTTATTGCGTTTGTTAGTCGACAATTTCCTACATATGTAATGTGCATTCTGGTTACTGTACCCACTCTTTTGTGCATTCTGATTATTGTACCCCCTTATCAAATTATAGAGTGGTTTTCTGATGCAAGATGAGCTACACAGAGTTACAAACTTTGTTATGAATGAACAGTCATAGCACCTTTCTCTTGCTGGATGAAAAACAAAGGTACATGCCAACAGTCTTCCACGGATGGTGATGGTCAACACCATGTTCTAGGTCTCTCTCTCTCTCTCTCCCTCCCCCCTCTCTGTCTCTCTATCTCTCTGTCTGTCTCTGTCTCTCTGTCTCTGTCTCTGTCTCTGTCTCTGTGTCTGTCTCTGTCTCTCTCTGTCTCTCTCTCTCTCTCTCTCTCTCTCTCTCTCTCTCTCACACACACACACACACACAACCACAAGCAAAGTGGATCAATCTGTCAATCTTGAGGGTTGGTGCCCAATTTGGGGGCGCTGAATCTAAGCAACTGGCCTTTGTGTAAGAGCCATCTTCCCGTCGCGGCGGGGCGCGCGTCTCCACCGAATGTGCTGTGCGGTGCGGTGCGGTGCGGTGCGGGGGAGGCTCCACGGCGCCAGCCCGGGTCCCAGGCTCTGCCCCACACCCGCCTGGCGCGCGCCGCGCTGCGCTGTCCGCGGAGTCCGTGGCTGCCGCGCACTTGGCTGGTGCGAGAGGAGCTAGGGGTGGGCGGGCTGCTCGCCTGGCATTGGCGCTCTGCAGTGCAGTCAAGTGTTAGCCCAGCTCCCTATATGGTCGGGGATTAGCTAGGCGCTGCTGAGGCTGAGCAAGAAGCGGGAGGAGGAGGACGACGAGGAGGAGAAAGAGCAACGGCAGAGTGGCAGTCAGCGCACGCCGCTGCCTGGGGGAAACAGAGGCGCCCGAAGCTGGGGCGCCGCGCACGCCCCGAGAGCCATGGCCGAAGCGGGAGAAGGAGGCGAGGATGAGATCCAGTTTCTGCGGACTGTGAGTCTCGGCGGCCGGGCGAGGCGGCGGGCAGGTGGGGAGGAGCGCGGCGTGGCGAGGAGGGGCTGCGCTGCGCTGCGCCTTGGTGTGGGGCGCGTTCTCCGCACTCGCGGGCTGCAGAGGCGGATCAGCCACCTACCCGCCGGGCGGCGAGGGGCTGCGTGGGAAATGGCACCTTCTCCAGCCTTTCCCCTTTCTCTTTCCGTGCCGCCACCCCTCTCTCTCAGATCTCCCACCCGGGACCGCTCGCTCTTGGGGCAACTCGCTACTTGGTCTGAAACCTTTGATGCCCAAACTTCAAGCTGGGCTTCTCGGGATTGCTCAGACACAGAAGATCAGAGGTGCTCCACGACCGGCCTCCTGTCACCTCCACACTTTACCCGGTCCCTTTCCTCAGGTTCTAGGGGACCGCCAAGAAAGGAGTCAATGGGGCAGCGGTGAGAGTGGGGACCCGGGTCCAGAAACCGATGCCTGCTGTTGGTGACAGTGCTGGGACCGCTCTGAAGGGAATTCACCTAATGCTGTCCCTCTCCTCGCTCTTTGAATCTCTGTCCAGCAACTGCTGCTAAGCCTTCCTTGACTCACTCGCGGGTGTGTGCAAGCTAAGGCTTTTGCTCCAGGCTCCCAAGAACCCTGCAGAATAGGGAAATCCCGTTCTGTGGCTCCGCGTCATCAGGTCCCCTTCTTGGCACTGGAGGGCAATGCTCCATCCCAGATTTTGAGAGCAGGGCAAAGTCTAGTGCAGCTATGTCAGCCTTCTCCTTGAAGAGTTAACACTTCAAGGTGGACGACCACCTTGAAGGGCGAGGGGCACCCAGTTGCTTCCTAGGGCTGATTTCAGCCACGTGACCTTGAACAGCTAGATCACATAATCCTCTCTACCTAGTCTCAGTTTCCTTTTGTGTAAAATGGAAGAAAATGTAACTAGCATTTCCTGGCAGATAAGAATTAAATGAGATTGTGAACGCCATAATATTTTAAACTGTAGAATGCTTTGTAAGTGCTAAGTGATTTTACGCGTGCTATCTAGGTCTGGAGAATTAGAATGAAATTCTTGTCTCCACTGTCCTCTTTAGGAGCGCCCTGCTTCTTTCTGACCTGATCACAGAGGATGACAACCTCCATCTTTTGGAACATTCCCTCCCTATTTGAAGAGTTCCCTTCTAATTATTTTCAACACCCCCTCCCTTCTGTCGTCTGGTTTTTCAAACATGGTTTCTTGGTCAAAGGCTCAGTCCTGGGTCTTGCCTAGGAGATTAGGAAGTACCCACCGCCATCCTAATCCTTCTGAAAGTCCAGACACTCTTCTACTTCTCCCTGGTTTATCTTTACACTACACACAACTATGGCCAGCAAACTGTCTGTTCTTCCCAGAGCCCTGCGGGACCCTTCTGCTCTCCCTCCAACAGGTGTCCTCGGTACTGAACGGCATACAGAGGAGGTGCTTCTAGTTGTGTGCCCTCCTCAGTGCACGCAGGTGGTGGTGTTACTGATCATTATTAGAAACACCTAGGCACTAATAACGGAGGAAATCCCTCTTGGACAGATTGGGGAAACTTGAAGATGTGACTCAAGACTTAAAATTAGAAACCCGGAGACTTTCTTCACGTCTTCATGCAAGCTGCTTTTCTTGGGTTCTGTAACCATCTTCCCAGCCTTACCCCCAATGCCGGACAATGTTGCTGTAGTAGAGAACACCTGTAGCAATGGTTAAGTTTTGTATCACGAGCTTCGTGGAGTTCAGAGCACATGGACCCCCTTTAAAGCAATCTAGAGACCCTGTGAGGTTCAGGCACCCTGGTAAAGAACCCTGTTGCAGAGTACTTAATATCCACACAGCTCAGAGGGAGAACTAAGGTCACCATGGGGGTGAATGGCGCTAAGTGTGACAAAATCAGTTCTTTCTTCACTGTAATCATTGGAAGTATTGGTTTAGGCGTGTTCTTAGTTCTTCATCCCACAGAATAGCTTACAATTCTCATCTTATTCCTACTTGGAACAGAGAGAGGTACAGGAAATCAAATGACTTGCCTGGGGTTGCCCAGAAAGTTACTGGTAACAGTCATTATGTAATATTAAGTTTAAACTCCCAATGGAGCTGTGAGGCTTGCTCCAGAGGTTTAAACATGAGGAGTCCACGCAGATGAAAACCTGCAGTTTTCTCAGTTTGACTCTGTCCCTCATTAGCCATGAATTAGATGAAACAATTTATTGGAACTCAGGAATCATAAGCTCGATCTCTGCACAATAATTTGACATTATCTTTCTGTTTTTCAGAGAGACAAGAATCACTATGCTATTCTATCAGGGTCAAATTTTCACCTTCCAATACACCTGTGCAGTACAAGGCGTTTCACTTTGAACTCACCTGCTCACTTCTACATTAGCATTTTTTCTTCCTCACAATCACAATCTTCTAAAGCATGTTGGCCATGTGTCACTCACCTTAGCATTGTTTTGGACCAGAGGTGACTATTTGACAATGAAACAGAATCATCCTTTTGCAGCTGTGAACTTTACAGGATTGCTGTTTCAGAGAGCAGAGGCTTTTACATTTACTTTAAAAATAAACCATGTACTAGCATTGTGCCATAGGCCCTAATCAAATTGTGGGTGATTATGATGTCATGTGGATTACACTAGTGGCAACAGGGAAAGTAGCTAGAATTATTGATGGCATGAAATGAGCTAGAAGGCAGCCTAGGTGTGCTTGTTGTGGCTTTAGATACTTTTGAATTGGTGTTGTTGTTAATATCATTATTAGAACCATCTAGGCACTGATAACTGAGGAAATCCCCCATGGACAGATTGGGGCGACTTAAAAATGTGACTCAAGGTTCTAAGGTTAAGGGTATTTGAAATCCACTGTTTCTTAAGTAAGTGCAGGTCTACAACAAAGGGTTTGGAAGGTGCGATGAAACTTCATAAAGTCTGAAGACACTAGAAGCTGTGTCTATTATGTTGAGAGGCAGGAAGAAGAATCGTCTTCTTCTTAAGGCTAGAATTTTCTCTCCCACTAATGTTGGCATTGGCATTCTCCTCCCTTCCAATTGCGCTTGCTGACGTAGCCAGTGCCACTGACGTGGCTCTAAAGCTGCTCAGAAGCAGATAAACCTGCCAGCCACTGATACGAAAACGAGAAGTTGTGGGGAGAAGAGTGACAATTACCCTGTCTTCAGACAGTTGGCAGAGTGGCTGGCTTCAAGAGTGCCAGGGAGATGCTGTTTTCCCCTAGACTACAGTAGCCATTTACAATTACAACAAGGCTCTGAGCCATCACCTGCTGTTTTTAACCTCTCCTTGTTAACTTCATTCTATCATACAGGGAATTAAAGCAAAGCTTGGGGTAAGGTAGGCGTCCATATCTATTAAAGCTTGGTCACAGGCTGCTGAGCTGAGCCGCATCTAAGTTGTTCTCCTTTGGCCCTGAGCTGCACTTGAACATGGAAAGGTATTTGAACTGAAGGTCAAGGACTGCTCCCATCCAACCATGGTGCTTCAGACACATCCTTGCATTAGATTTCTACCACTGATGTGAATTCTGCCCCAGTGAAACTCATGGCCCCTGGCTGGAGTGCTGGTGAACATTCATCTGTTGGCTTGTGGCTTCTAGCTTGCTTCTCTTTGTAGGCATTGTGTGTTTACTTCCCAGCTCATAAAGTCAGATACTTTTACTCAGGATGCCAATAGGAAAGATGTTAAAAACAGTCTTCTAGTGCAAGAGAGAAGACTAGAGACAGTACTGAAGGCAGACCCTAGACGCCCAGGTATGGACTGCTGCTGGGCTGACCAGGGGTTCTACTGCTGCATGAGGGTAGATATTAAAATTGGCCTCCAAGGTCACTACAGGGCTTTCCACCTTCACAGTCTCTTTCTTGACAGTTTCTCAGAATTGGTTTGATTCTGTACCAGTGGACTAGTGTACACAATATTCTTTTCCCTGTGAAATGCCTCTAATGGGTGTGAGCAGGAAGCAAGGTCCTTTCTCCCAAGTAACCAAGTTGAGCTGGGAAAACTGCTTTTGCATTAGAGCATTGTGACTCTTATCTTGCTGTAACCCAAATGCTCATGACCAGGGTTGACCAGAGTTTTTAGCTTCTGTGTCTTTGAAAGAGAATGATGATGACTGCAAGCTTGGGAATGTTTAGCATGAGATGCAGCCCATTACAAAAATTGAGACCATAGAAGAAGCCAGTCTGCAATTGAGGGGTGCATGACTAATGCCCTCATTTAATTTTTAAAGACAATATTAAGGAAAGATGAGGGCACTTAAGGGAAATGTTTTTTTTCCTAGCAAAACTTTAAGTTTATTCCTAACATTCATGTAATGTACACTGAGTATACTTCTTTAGCTCTTTTGGGCTGTTCTGAAGTGGGGGGAATGTTGAAATGGAAATGAGTGGGAGAAATTTACCTGGAGAGCAAAATATTCTAATGCTTATTTTTTAAAAGTTGGTATTTGAATAGATTTATATCCATATTTGCCTCTTTGATTGCTGTATGATTATTTATTTTACTTTATCCCCTGGCTTTCCCTTTGTATTGCTATTTAAAGAATTTTACATTTACTGACCCCATGATTTTTCCTGATGCACCCTTTTCATCCTCTTACCCTCTCTGTGTCAATTGAGGAGGCCCCTGTCTTCAGGATGCTCTACTATAGCTCCTTTTCCTCAATTTCATGCCAAGATAAACCTTTCTAAATTAGCTCTATTCATAAAGATACCCTCAATATAAAATTTATCCAGTAGGAGCAGAAGGCTGTAATAAAAAATTGAACTTAGAGGAATTTTTATTTTTTATATTAGCTCATTTGTGACCTTGAATGAGTCATTTAAGAAAACTGAGTATTTTTGTTTGTTTGTTTCACACTCTATGGAGAATCTGCCTTACTAGGAGAGTCATGAAAGGCAACAGTAATTCCAAAAATACTCCCAATGACAAAAGCAGGCACATTTCATAGGGCACTGTCATTGTGTCTGTCCTCCAACAGGAAATCA